CAAATGTTTTCCCTAACACCCCTTGAGTGTGTGTGTGTTCTGTTAAGATACTGCCTGTTGTGCCTTCAAATGGCTTCTACCGTACTGCCGTAAAATGGCTTCCACTATGCAGTGCAGTAGAGTTGGCATGGTAACGGCTTCACAGTACTCCACAAGGGGGCTCCCACTTTCCTTGACACTTCTGGGGTCTCAGGGAAAACATTTGTAGCTAATTTAATTGTCGCCAAAATCAAGGCTTTTCCTGTCTAATACGGCATTAGGATAAATAAATACTCGGGCAACGCTGGGTGATCAGCTAGGCCTATATAAACGCCACTTTCAATGTTTTGTGCATGCATCTAAAGTTGTAATGGAGATAGTAAAGCAGATGGTGTAGAACCAAAAAATAAATAAAATAAGAGAACCCTCCAGAGCTTCCCTATTACAGAACAAATCTGAAGGGAGACACTTTCTCTATAAAAAAATAAACAGCTCCAATGAACTAAGCTTTAGTCCTACTTAGTTAAACTTGTAACGTTTTACATCACAGGTCAAGGTAAGAAATCGTTTTAAACCTGGGTTTTAAATCCAGTTCTCGTTTTGCTGAGCTTGGTTCTCACCATAAGGTGAACCATAAACGTCAGTTTATAAACTGTAATAATTAGTTTCACACACACGACATATTAAATCAAGTTCAAACAAACCATATTATGCCATAATGTACCCACTGCCATTTAGTTGCATAGAAAGTCACACCTTTTAAAACCTGTTGTTGGGGTTGAAAATACAGGTAAACACATGGTAAAGATGCAGCCTACCATTTTTTTTTTGCCAAGAAGGTTTCACTTATCTATTCAGAAATTTAATCAGGAAATAGGAAATCAAAGTAGGGAGATTCTCACCTTCAAGAATATGCATCCTGACTAATTCTGATCGATCAGGTCTACTGCGTATTTTATGCTTCAGAAAGTTTTCAGTCTAGAAAAAAATAGGTAAAGACACTACAATTGAGTGGTAATAAGCCCAAAATAGTCCAGTTTCGCTGAAATTGACAGGAACTGCACAGCACTATCAGCAATGTTTTTATCTGACAATGCTTTGCAAGCTGTTGTCTGATATTATAAAACTAAGTTTAATATTGATTTTTAAATCCTTTAAAAATTCAGATTCTTGGTAATTCATTCAGCAAGGTGTAAAATGCGAACTGAACCACTTCAAGTTTTATACTCCCAGATTTCAGTGCATTCAAGAATAAGAAACGTGTTCTTACGGATGGCACGCTTCTATTCTTCAAGGCAATAACACAAATGGAATTCTATCTTTATACAGAAATACAAAGCTAATTAGTTTATAATCTAACATTGTTAGCAAATGTGCAACAGGTGCAAGCAGTAAAGAGGGGTATTATTGAATAGACTTTGAATTTTAAAACGATTGCCATTATTCCTTATAATGTAGTTTGTTCTTCTGAGTGTTTATATTGAGCACTTTAAGCTGCATTAGTATATCTATCAAAGGAAATGTGAGTTGTTTTTCCATAAACCTGCGTTATTTATTCATGAAAGCTTACAACATAGTCTCATTATTAAACATAATATAAAATGTTATGAACATTAAAAATATCCCTGTAACTGTGGGTGTTTTTAAAATTGTTTTTAATAATAAATCACCAAGCTCTTTCCCTAGTTTATCTTAGTTTCTAAGCAAATGTAATAGACTGCTTTTCAAGGGGGGGGGGGGAATAGCACTTTTGTATCCTCATCAGTAAGTTTTGAAAATTCAGGTGATAATTTAAATGTATATTTTTGACTTCTCAAGTTTAAAACTATGAGATACGATGGCCTGGTTTTAATTGTTTAACGAATAATTTCAATTATTTATCTTTAGGTTGAAGAAGAATTAGGTATAACGCCCTTTGCCCAAAAGAATTGAGAGTTAATAACTAAATATATCATGAATAATTATTGGTTTCTAAACCTAATACTTCAACAGCCAGATATGAAGCACACCTTACTCAGGAAGTATATGACTAATCGCAAGGATTAGTTATACTAATTTTGAAAGTGGCCATAGGACTGCGTGGTTAATCAAGCTGATGCTGATGTTTGAATTGTCTGAATTAATTCTCTCTCAATTTCATTATAGAACGAACCCGGGTTTCATTTCTAAAAATCTGTAACAATTTCTCCTTGTTTCCAAAAGTCCTTCATCTAGCATTTTTCCCAGGACAATCATACTCAAAGAATGAAACATCATGTTCGAACTTGATTTCTCACCCTAGCTCTTTCCAAACTTTTTATTTGCTCGTGAAACGCAGCTGGGCTCTTCAAAGCTAAAAAACAAGGAAACGGAAAAGGGTCATGAAGCCAGGAGATGACAAAGGTATATATGAATATCTTACATTCAAGCAGGTTTGTTTCAGCTGGCTTAGTAGGACGCTAACTGTACCTGTACATAAGGATCGGCTGTAATAAAATCACCCTGCCTGCTATGTACTGGATTCCAGACACTTCGATTCACTTCATAAATATGGAGTAATAACTAAAAGAGCAGAAGCAGAAAATGGGCTTTTTGCACTACTCTTAACATAGCATATGTAGACCAATTATCTTATAGCTATAATAGTAGTAAAAAAAATTGTGTTGCATCAGGAGCCTGGTGTCAAATGAACAGGGATTATTAACACTGTCATACTTTCTTCAGTCTCTCTTTTCATATTCTGTACTCTGCTTACTAACTTTTTTTTAAAATCAGTATTGCATTTCCTTTACGATTTAGGCTGGAAACAAACCAAAACAACAATACAGTTACACCATATAAACAAATAGCACCACAGACAATGAATGACAGGATCCTAAAGCCACTGTGAGTAATTCCACCCGACCAGGCAGAATGCAAGCAGGCCCAATAATAATGAACTAACAATCCCAGTAATTTTTTCCCCCCTCGTTATGTGGTTGCTGCAGTTTCTAAAGCAGGGGTGTGCCCAACCTTGGCAATGTTTGTGGCAGTCACAGAATTTGTGTAAGAGTAGCAGCAGTTGTGCCAGCCATGAATTTTGGGAGTTGAAATCCACAAGTCCTAAAGTTGTGCACCCACTACCCAAAAGTGCTTTCTTTGACATCACTTTCTTTTTTTAATAAATGCTTTATTTATTTTAATACAAATAGTCCATCTTCCATTAAACAGTGTGCCATCTGGTACAAATGTTTTGTGCAATAATAGTTAGAATTTACAATCACGTTCATTATTTAATCTATTCTTAGCTTAATACTAATACCTTAAATGTCTAATACTATAACAATCCTCTTCTTGATTTATTTATTAATACATTTTCTTTAATTTACTCATCTTTTATTTCTAATTCTTATATTTATTCTCTAACTATTGATAAAATGATTCCCATATAGTATAATAACCAGTTTGTTCTTTCTCTTTAATTGCCAGTGTTAATCTGTTTGTTTCTGAACATTTTAATATTTTCCTAATCACATTCTCCTCTGTAGGGATCTCTTTATTTTTCCAGTTTTGCGCAAATACAATTCTAGCTGCAGTTATTACATGGATAATCAAATGCACATTTTCTTTACTATAAGTTTCTGGTAAAATCCCTAACAGGTCTTTGACATCTCTTTCAACTCAGAGTCCAAAATGAACTGGGAAGCAAATTAGCGCAACTCATTTCATGCCATGTTCATGGATCTGTTATCACTGCAATGATATTTTGCTCAGACAAATCTTAGCTATGCCAGATAACATGACACATGACGCATGTGCATGAAAAACAATGAAACACAACTATGTCTGCTTTGCAATCCTCAGTACCCAGAAATTAATAAGTGGGACTCTTGGCTAATGAAAGATAGTGAATCCTTGCCCTAAATCATAGTAAAAGCTGAGTGACAAGCATATCTGCATACACTTGCAGAATGTGTTTGGAAGAAACTGTTGCCACAGGAAACTTAGTTCACCAACTTTAGGGTATAAGTAGAGGGGATCTAAAGGACAGACACTAGAAAACAAATCCATGGCTTGTTTTTAATCTCTCAATGGCTTGGTCCTCTTGATTCATCCAGACACAAAAAATAACAGTCTCGTTTCTGCATACCAGATTAAATAATTATAAACCATTTCCCCCTTATTTAATTTCCAATTGCTCATAATTAAATTGTAATGAATTCCAGGTTTAATACAGTAATATATTTCCCACCAATTTCCTTTAATTTTCAGATATTTAGTAGAAGTAATGTTTACAGAGTTGTCATCCTCCCTCTAAATCTTGATGGATACTAAATATTATCATCTTTTCCCTTTCATCTTTAATATGACATCCAAGCACTCGACGTTACTAAAGCCGCAGAAAATGAAATTAAGTCTTACGTGGCATGATTCCCTGGTCCACCAGCTGTTCTCTTGTTCGCCTTTGCTGTAGTTTCAGCTGAAGAACTAGCAATGGAGAAAAGGGATTTATTACTTGACAAGAAGGAACTCTCATCTCACAATTAAAAATGCTGCATTCTTCTGAGAATGAAATACTAGCTGGCGTAAATCCTTAACATTAAGTGTTTAATTGGATCCAGGGTACATTCACTGCCCAGATAGTGTACAGGCAGCCCTCAGCTCACAGCCGTTCATCGCAACCATTAGAAGTGACAACCGCACTGGAAAAAAATGATTTAGGGCCATTTTACACACTTGCGAGCTTGGCAGTGATCAAAATTCAGGTGTTTGGCAACTGGCATGTATTTATGATGGTTCCGACAAGCAGAGTCAATGGGGAAACCGGATTCACTCTACTTTTGTCATTAGCTTCACAATTGCAGTGATTCACTTAGCAACTGTGGCAAGAAAGACTGTACAATGGGGCAAAACTCATTTTGCGACTGGCTTTGGGCTCAATTGTAGCCACAAGTCAAGGACTACTTGTAGTTAGGTGTACACAACACAGGGAATTTCATCAGATATTTAGTGATTATGATAAGAGAATCTCTTAAGATGCAAATGTTTTATGGGCAATAATATAAATCTTTCCAGTGCAGCTTCGTGCAATCATGTTCAACGATAGACGATGCTTAGGTTGCCATTATTTTTCCTACAATCACGTAGCTCAGCACCAGAAATATTAAAACCAATGTAGAGAGAAGGTATCGTTCTGATTAACAGGTATATACACGGACACATCTGTAAAACCCAACTAACATAATTTTTGCAGATGCTCTTGTCTTGGTACTATTAATACCCGTGAATGCATCCCAGGCCAGAGGCAATCCCATGCACCAATGCTCTCTGAAACAGCACTTGGAACTCAAGAATATTAGCTGGCAATTCTCCAGTTCAAAAGTTGGAACCTTTGGGAAGGCGCTATTCTCTACCACACCTATGGGGTGAATCAGGGATACAGGGAAAGGGGAGTGAGGGAGAACTACATGTTTATAGCATCCACAATTTTATAAGCGTTCCAGAAGATCAACAGGAGGGAGAGTTTTATTTCCTGTGCAATCTACTTTTTATCTGTTTCCAATTATATGTTTATGTTTACCCCTGGATCTGATTTACAACAGGAAAATAGAATTTTGTAAGGCAGTCTTCATCTCTCTCCAGGGTGGATTTAGTAAAAAGGCATGATTTAAATCAACTCGATTTAAATCGTAATTTTTAAAGAGCAACTGTCATCTCTGTCCCACAGCAGCTCCTCCTCTGACCCGCTGTTGACTCAACAATAGTCCTAATATTGTAGAATAGACAGCCTCACATGACCTAACTAAGTTCCACTTCATGCTGAATAAACTAAATTATTAACATATCTTAAATAGAAAACTATCTTTAGATAGATCTTTACTCCAAAAGTATATTAAAATAAATTTAATAAAAATCAAAAAAATCTGATTTAAATAAAACAAACCTGATTTAAATTTTTAAAATCTGATTTTTTTAATTTTTTTTTTAAACCATTGATTTTTTATCCACCCTGTCTTCCTCTTAGCAATGGTTTTAAAATACTTTGAATTGGGAATCTATGTACAATACCTTTATTCTCTTCCTGAGAGCACAGCACATTAAATTCTATAGTAACAATATTAAGGTATTAAAAGCAAAAGCATCCAGTTGACAAAATAAGTAATCTTGCTGCTAAAATATATTAAAAATAATCCTCGCATAATGGTATTGTCTTTTTTTCCAGACAGAAAAATATAAATATTTTTTACAGGCTAATATATACAATATATCTTTCATATTTTTAAAAAAGCATTACAGTTGTTTTCATAGTCAGAAATCATTAGCTTATAGCAGAACAGAATAAAATCTAAATGCTGGTAGAAAAGGGCAAAAGGTCTTTGTGGGGGGGAAAGTAAAATATTGCATAATACATTATTCTTAGACATGAAACTAGCAACCAGAAGTCAGTTTCCCATCACTTCCTCCAAATCAACCAAGTTACTGTCTCAAGCAGAGTCCCTAATGAGTTTAAACAGTAAATAGTAATAAGAAAGCAAACTTAGAAGAAAAATATTTTCTTCGGGGGCGGGGGAATGAAAAAGCTAAACTTTCTAACCTTTATCCAAAAGGAAGAAATGCACGATATCCATCTACCTGTAAGTATACAAATGTATTTTTCAACTCAGAATTAGCTAGTATATCTCTATCAGCAAAGTTTTTTTTTTTTACATAGGGATTTTTTTTTAATTTGTAAGCTCTTGGAGTCAATTAAATGTGAGTTGGGCAGCTATATAATTTTGTTTAATAAATAAATAAAAATTATTGGATTGAAGGCATTACTGGAGAATTTCTACCTGCAGCTATGCCATCGTAAGTGCTTTTTCAAGGAAAAACTTCATCATTATAGCTACAATTAGGATTTAAAAAGTCTAAACAGAAGCCAGTCTTTTAATATAAGGAAAGGCGACTCATTTCCTTATTTTTTTCAAAGCCTTTTGTTTGCTGGGCTAATTTCTCTTTGGAAACAAAGAAAATAACTTGAATGGATTGTTAGCTTTGTTTGTCCACTCATGCAGAGGCCAAGTAGGAAGAACAAAAAAACAAATTATTAGGAAACTGTAACTAATCTTTTTAATAACTTTGAACATCAACTATTTAAGTTGCAATTATGTCAAAGGGTTCAATGCCAAACATCTGCGTTCAGAGCAATCTTGTGAAATCTACCACATTTAAGGTAATGAGAAAGTCCCTGGAGCTTTTGCACTCTTTGTATAGACCAGGGGTCAGCAACCCATGGCTCTGGAGCTGCATGTGGCTCTTTCATCGCTCTGCTGTGGCTCCCTGTTGCTGGTCGGCTCCACAATTGGTAGGGCTTTCTGTTAGGGCAGGTAGAGGGAAAATGATGACGCACTAGGAGGAGACTCTATGGTGGGGGGAACTGGACTTCCAGTCGGCAGAGGAAAAAAGACGTTGTGCTAGGAAGAGACTATGGTGGGGACTCGACTTCCGGTTGGCAGAGGAAACAGGATGCTGGGCTAGGAGGAGACTCTATGGTGGGGGAACCAGATTTCCAGTCGGCTTCAGAATTGAATGGGGGGCTTCTGGTTAGGACCTTTGTGGCTCTTTGATAAGGCTGCCGAGCCCTGGTATAGACTCAAGAAAGTATAAAAAGTGTTAGATATCTTGACTTGATTGCAAAAAAAAACAAAAAACCACCCCTAACAATTGTAAAAACAACTGCTGCCAAATGACATTAGTTGAGCAGAAATCCTATTTGTTACACGGATTACCAAAATATTTACTACTGCCAGGAAGCCAATGCGAGCTAAGCCCTGAGTAAACTCCGCTGGAAGAACCAGGCAGGCCCCACATAATATCTTGATGTCATTTCACCACACCGGGTTGTTTTCGCCAAGGGAAAAGCAATCAAAATGTTTTATCAAATCATCACAATTACCATCTTGCAGTGAATTTCATATGGATTATGCCTCTGTAATTCTTTCCAATTGGTCAGAGAGCCTTGACATTTTCAATCTCATAAAACATACCGTCAATAAGCAAACAAGGCTTGCTGTACGGTGGCATAAAAATTGAATAACATTATCCTAAAAGATGATACAGTTAGCTTTTAATTTGTTTCTCTTTTTGTTATGGCTTTTGCCTGTGTTAGCCATCTTCAATAGTTCAATTTTGAACTAGTATTCGGGGAAATAATCAGAAAATAAACATTTAATCTTGGATTTAGATACCCGCCACTAATATATTAAGACAGTGGTTCCCAACCATTTCTTCACTTTAAATAGTTTTTGCTGCCGTAACATTTCTTCAAGCCTTCTGTGGACCTCATGTGATGACATCACAACCCCCCCAGGGGAGATAATACACCTTTAATGATAATATATATCTTATGATAGCTTATCTGTCATAATTGCATATCTGAATATTTCAATAGTATTTAATCCAAAGTTCAGCAACTTTTAAAACATTTTTAGTTATTTGAAGTACTACAAAAGACATGATGCCTTTCATATTTGTAAAGTAAATTATTTGGGTACCCCTTTCACTATTTCATTCTCCTTGCACTTCAACATCTAAAGGAATGTTATGCTAATTATCCAATTGGTTGAGTGAGTTTCTGCTAGTAATTTCCATGACAATTAACAGAAACACACTCATTATTAAAGAATTCTAGAATCCCTGAAAGTATAAAGGAAATCAAAAGGAGAGGTATTCATTCCTTCGGGTGGCCCTTTTGATCAAGTCAAGAGATAAAATTCCAATTGCCAACTGAGGCAATCAAGCCAGGAGACGAAACTTGCACCAGACTGTTGATCCTTCTTCTCCTGACATTCCTTTCTTAATCCATCACTACTGGGGAGGCCCCAAATGGCATCCCCAGGTGTTAGGTTACCCACATCAACCCCTACAATCTTACCACCAGTCAACCCTAGTAGGCCAGTAATCTGACACAAGCCACACAGCTGGACATAAACCTTTCAAACACTGTTCTATCACTTCACTCCCTCACTGGAGGTTTTTAAGAAGAGATTGGACAACAGTTTGTCTGAAATGGTAGAGGGTCTTCTGCTTAAGCAGACGGTTGGACTAGAAGACCTCCAAGGTCCCTTCCATCTCTGATATTCTGTTATTCCCTTCTATTAACCAAACCCTCCTATTCTCTAGGTCCCTATTTCACTAAGGGCCCAGAAGGATGAAAGATGGAACTTCTCACTCTGCAAGGTCACACACTGTCTAATTTCATATCTCACACAGGTAAACCAAAGACAACATGAGCTCCAGAGCAGGACAACCTAAGCAGGAATCCATACCCTGGTATTCTATCTAACAATGCCAACAACTGAAGCCCAACCTACTTGCCAGAACTTCCTGAGAAGACTGGCAGTAGGGATGGGACAGTCTCTAGTTAGAACCTCAACTGCTGCACCCATCAACTGCCAGCTGTCCCAACTTCAGCCTCCACAAAAGCCCCTTCCAACTCTTTGGTCAGA